CGGCAAATACGTCTCGCTTCCTTCTTCAGTTCCCTATAACGGTCCCACATGGCTCGCGTTGCGCCCGATCGCAGCGTGGCCCTGTAGGCGGCATCTTTTTTCTCTGCGGCTTCTTGACATTCCTCATCGTACCAGTTGTTCTTTCGGGCTCGCTGAAATCCAACTACTTCTTCGGCGGCGGTACTTAATGATCGGGAAATGTGGTTCCACTGCTCGCGTACGTCGGATTGTTGAAGAGTGCTCTCAGAGAGCAGGTGTGTGAGTCGAGTGGCGAATAAATTGGCCGTCTGTTGTGATTGCAGCTTTTCGACGTTAAGCTTTCCTTGCATTGTTGGGCGCACATTTTTTGCTGCACAGAGGCGGGTGCGTATCTTGGCTACAACAAGATAGTGGTCCGAGTCGATGTTTGGCCCTCGGAGTGTACGTACGTCCAAAACGCTTGAAGCATGCCTTCCGTCTATCACAACATGATCGATTTGGTTTCTCGTTTTTCGATCTGGAGACAGCCATGTAGCTTGGTGGATGTTCTTATGCTGGAACCTAGTACTACATATTACCATATTTCGGGCCCCGGCGAAGTCGATCAGCCTCAGTCCGTTATCGGACGTTTCGTCGTGGAGGCTGAATTTTCCGACAGTGGCGCCAAAGATCCCTTCCTTGCCCACCTTGGCATTAAAATCGCCAAGCACGATTTTGACATCGTGTCGGGGGCAGCGCTCATATGTACGTTCCAAGCGCTCATAGAAGAGATCCTTGGACGCCTCATCCTTCTCTTCCGTCGGGGCATGGGCGCAGATGAGCGAGATGTTGAAGAATCTAGCTTTGATGCGGATTGTGGCTAGACGATCGTCCACCGGGGTGAACGCCAGTACTCGGCGACGGAGTCTCTCTCCTACCACGAATCCAACACCGAATTTGCGCTCCTTTACGTGGCAACTGTAGTAGACGTCGCAAGGCTTCACGCTTACTTTACCTTGCCCCGTCCATCGCATTTCTTGGATGGCGGTGATGTCAGCCTTTGTCTTCCCGAGGACATCAACCAGCCGGGCAGAGGCACCTTCCCCATTAAGGGTCCGGATATTCCAGGTGCATACCCTTAAATCATAGTCCTTTATACGTTTGCCGTGGTCGTCATCAGAAAAAGGGGGTCTCATCCGAGGCTTGTTGGAATTTTTCATTGGGCGGGGTTTTAACGTGGCGGGACCCAAACCCAGCGCACGCGAAGTTTTACGCCTTCTCACTTTAGCTCGCTCCCAAACGGGTGTTTGGTTGCTACCCAGAGGATACGTGGATATAAATATCCGGACGTTGTGAGCTGCGATTTGAACCGTACGCACAAGAATCGCTTCTGGCCACTCCCAGGTGAATGGCAGTCAAAAGTTTTCCACTTCTGCGCACGGAACCATCCTCCATCCTGTAAGAATAATCGCTCTTACAAAATGCAAAGGAACCAAAATTTATTTTTACAATAACAAAGTCCTTTTTTAATATTTTTTAGACTAATTTCGGATAAGCAATTTCGTAGCCATCAATAAAGTGTACGTTTCAAGTGGCTGTAAAATAGCGTTTGATTTTTTGCAATTTTTTCGAGCATACATACTTTGTATGGAAGAAAATGCGCAGCACCGTCAACAAAGAAAAAAAGAATTGTCAAAAATCTACCTATTTTACAGTCACTAGAAACTTGCACTTTACACTAAAATTATATGGGCTACAAAATACATATCCAAACTTTTTTTAGAAATGTTATTAACTTATTCGCTGTAGGTCTTGTAGGCCTCTTTGTTGAATAATTTTTTTTTAATTTTTATAAAATTTTTAACTCGCATTTTCACGTGAAATACTATACTAAATGGATATCAAATAATGATCTTCTTTACTTTCATTTAGAACTAACGAGTGCATTGAGTTTGTTTAATTGAATTAGTTTTCTGCACTAGAACAGACATAGAACCGGGGCTGCCCATCTAGTAGAACGCACTTCAAGCCATTCAGCTGCCGCGGCTAAGCACTCTAAAGAGGCTCTTATGTGTTAATCACATTAAAGATACTATGAATATGTTATCGCGATTATTTATCGTTTTACAGTGACGAAATATTTATAGCGCACCCATAATTCTTACAGAGCTAGCCATAAATATAACAAAGTAACTGACCTCTAAATTGCATTATAAAAGGTTTTGACATTTTCACTTTCATTGTTTGTTGCATACATACGTATAAGAAAAGCCATTTGTGGGGAAATTGCATATAAGTATGTTTGTATGTAAAGTCAATTTGAATTGATAACAATGAAATATGCATAGGTTAGGAAACAAACTCGTCTAGAACGCAATTTACATGAGTGTGCGTGAGTTTTTT